GCCGCCGCCGCCGCTGCCGCCGCCACTCGCGCCAGGAGTCGGGGGCGGAGGGGAGCTCGGAGGCGGGGCCGCCGGGCGGGGCCGGCCAATAACGTCGGAGAGCAGCCGCCGGCTCACAAGCAAAGTTTTAACCCCGGGAAAGAAGAAAGTTAAAGCAAACCGGCCCGGGATGCTCCAGAGGGCGAGAGCGAGCGGGTGGGAAGCCGGCAGCCGGAGAAAGAACTGCAAAGACAAAGAAAAAGCGAGAGGAGCGCCCGGGGAAACCCCGGAGAGGGGGCAGGGCCCGCGCGCACCCCGTGGTGGGTGGTGGGGAGGACGGTTTTCTCCCTCCGGGTCCCAGCCAAACACATCTGTGTTTGTTTTCTTTTCTGCGCCGAGGTCGGGCCTTCCTCTAACCCAGCCTGATGGCCCCGGTAGCTCCGTGTACAGGGCCGTGCCCCAATGGGCACGCAGCCCCAGGGGTGTGAGGAAGGGGAAGAGGACATGACCTCTGCCTGCTCCTTACTTCTGCCCCAAGGCCTCAGGGTATGGGGACAAGTGGCCGCTGGCCTGAACCTCCCAGAGTTGCCCCTGTCTTGGGCCTGTTTATAAGGAACGCAGTCCGCAGTCCGGTTCATGCCTGGAGGCTGTGGTGGGCAGGAGGCTAAAGGACCGGAAGCAGGAACGCACCTAGATGCTAGCCTACACCTCTCACCGACAGGTCTGCGGGAGCCTCAGAGGTGAGGCCAGCTCAGGCCTCCCGAGGTCCCCTGAGGCTTATAGGTACTTGCTTCCTCCTGTTTTTAAGTGTACCTTCCAGATCCCAAAAACAACTTTGCAAAGTAGTTAGTGACTCCATTTTACGTATGAGAATATTGAGGTCCCAGGGGGTGGAGAAACCATCCCCCAGATCTCCCAGTTAATAAAAAATCAAATGCAGATATAGAAACCTGGGCTTCTAGCCTGGGATGGTGGTGTTGTGCAGTAGGTGGTGAGTTCTCCAGAAACTGATGCAGGAGGACTGCTTAAGCCCAGTAGTTCAACACCAGCATGGTCAACATACTCCATCTCAAAAGAAAGAAACCTAGGCCCCCTTCTCTCCATCATATTTGTCAAATGGATAATCTAACTCGATTATAGCCTCATAGGGCATCCTAAGTCCACCCAGTTTCTCCTGGCCTTATTCTCTGTCACCTTAACAAAAGGACTGAGGACAAGGACAGTAACCTTTGACCATCTTGAAAGCCATAGCCAAAGAGCTCAGGGAAGAGAATCATCAGGGCTGAGAGTTTGGAGCATTATTTATGTTGGTTTATTTGTTATTTGAAGTGTGTGAGCCAGTAACAGACCTAGATGAAAAGCCCCAGTCCTGGTTCTGGCCCAAGAGCTCTGGCCCTCCATGCTTTAGTTCCATTGCCTGCCTCATTTCAGCCTTACTGTCATTTTCATAAATTCTGAGACTCTCAGAAAGGGCCTCAGGGCTCATCTGGCCCAGCTCAGTCTCCTTGGAAGAAGGCCTTCCCCATTCTTCCTGAGAGCTGGCCACCCAAGCCAGCTCTTCCAGAGAGAAGAGGTAGCCACAGCCCAAAGAAATCAATCCATGTCAGTTCAGGGCAGCCTGGACTTACCCTCAGTCCCTGGGGTTGTGCTTTAGCTCTGCCTGCTTCTGTGGTTTACCACTCTGTGTTCTGTTTACGCTTTGCCTTGTGGCAGAAAAGACTGCAGGTGACTTACAAGGGTACTTAAATATGGCAAAATAACATAAATTAGAAGTGAAGTGAAAGGAAATAAATGTTTAGCCATTGTGGACTCTGAACTCTCAGTGGTATGCTGGAACGAGACAGAATACTTAGAACACACTTTGGAGCCAAGAGAGCCTGGCTTGCAGCCCTGGCAAGCCTTTGCATCTTTCTGAACCTTGGTTTCCTCATCTGTAAAACAGGGATGCAGATAATTATTTCATAGGCTCTTGAGCATTAAATGAGTTGATACATATGAATATTATTGCTTCTATATGCATACATAGTGTAGCAATATAATACACTCAAATATACTGTCATGTGTGTGCCTGTGCAAATATACATAAAGCCAGGGTGGGGGATATAGATCAATGGGAGAGTGCTTCCCTAGCATGAGAGCCTTTGGCTCAATTCCTAATACTGAAAATAAATAAATAAATGAATAAATGAATGAATGAATAAATAAATAAAATATACAGAAATCCAGGCACACAGTGACTATGGAAGTATGAGTTATTGGTATTAAGTTTCTGGAGCTATACAGAAAATAAGTGTACCCATGTCATGTAATGCCTGCGGAGGACAGAAGAGGTGTCAGATCCCCTGGAACTGGAGTTACAGACAGTTGTGAGCTGCCGTGTGGATGCTGGGATTCAAACCCAGGTCTTCTGCAAGAACAGTCAGTGTTCCTAACCACTGGGCCATCTTTCCAGCCCAAAAATTTTAATTATTTAAAGAACCTAATTATATGGAAATATTTTCATAACAGTGCAAAAACATGCACAGTGTAGTGTCATTTTTATTTTTTAGAAGTATGCAAAGATATTGTTAACAATGGTTATGCCTGAAAAGGGAAATGATCAATGATTTTTTTTCTTACTTATCCTTATTTATATGTTTTCAATTTTCTAGAGTACAATAAGAAGGAAAGCCGAGGGGGGGAGTAAAGGGGAGACAAAGTAGGCATGGGAATAATGCCAAGGTGCACCCTGGAATGAACCATTCGCCTCCTGTGGGTGGGCTACCAATTTGTCCCTAAGCTTTCCCACCACCAAAATGAAAAGGAGACCATGTCCCTTACACAATTCCCAGCGTCCATGTGATAAAAACAGACCTATTACTCAAGAGAGTTACAGCCCTTCTTGGTACTAAAATCAACAGGAATTTCTCCTGGGGGGCCTCATAAAGGGAGCACAGTGTGAGGTAATGAGCAAGCATCCCCAGCAACATCCCCATAATAGTCCAAACAGTGAGCTCCATGGGGCGGGTGCTGTGATCAGTCTTCAATATAAGCTGATAGTATCAGACCAAAACACAGGAAAACATGTTCTGGCAAGGAGAGGTCTAAAAGTGACAAATTGGGGTGCTCAGCTCCCTGACCACCTAACCTGGGTGCATTTTGGAGACTCAACAAGACTGGATGGTAGAGTTCTTTCCAGTCCTTCCTCCTGCTGTGCTTCTGCTGCTGAGCACTTCTGAGGGACAGCAAGTTTGAAAGACAGCAAGTTTGAAATTGCCCTCAGTGGCTTGTGGCTCATCGGCATTGCTAGCTGTGCTTGGATCAGTAGTCTCCAGCAGGGAATGGGTGTACGCTTTCTACTTTGATTAGGGTCACTTAGGTCTAACCTGATCTTTAGTTCTTCCTCTTAGGCAGAACTGTCTCACCTTGTAATCTAGGAGGTCTGGAATCCCCTGGAATATACTAAAAGAACCCTCTTGGTCACTTCTACAGTTGGTCCAACCTTGTACAGCCACTCAAATCTCACCTGTCCATTCAGACTTTGGAAATTATCCTCTCTGCTTTCTCTCTCCGAGGTGAAATGGTCCTCATCCTTTCAGTGATTTCTTATTGGGTTTCTGTCCACTCTGCAGTCTCTCCAAATGCACTCTAATTTGTCAGTGTCCCTTCCTACAGCCTGCTGCCTTTTGAGGAGACAAATGAAAAAAACAGATGTTCAAGTGTTGCTTCTCAACACTGTATGTTATAAATACACAGCCAAGAAAGCATGTCAGGCACTGAGCAACAGGATCCAGGGTACAAACTAGAGTTTAAAACAACAGTTAGGGTTCTTGGGTGAGAAAGCAAATTCCCAGGTGTTTCTGCAAAGAATGCATTAGGAGGGAGGAGCCACCATTCCTGCCACACAGTCTTCCCTAGCTGTGATGCCCAAGGACACAACACCCTAGGAAGGGGAGAATGGGAAAAAGTCATCAAAACTTAGAAATAGCCCGAGGAGGAAAACCTGGAGATTCAGGTGTCCTAGCAACAAGATGGGCTAAGAAAGTTTCCAGAAGGAGGGGCAGTGATCTTTGTCACATGCCTTAAAGGTCAAGATAAGATCTGAAGGGAATGCTTTGGATTAAACCGACAAGGAAGCCATTGGTGACCTTGACTGGCAGTTGCAGAGGGGTGGTGCGGACACAAGCCAGTCTGCCTCAGGTTGTGGACCCAAAGCGAGGTGAGAAAGTAGAGATAGCAAGTGTAGACAACTTCCGAGAAGTGTGAGAAGTGTGACGACAGGTGGTTGGAAAGAGAGCAGAGACCAGCAGGAAGGTGACAAGGGAGCAGGGCAGGCGGGGGCTTTCCATTGTTTATAAGATAAAGCTATTTGAACATGCCTAAATGTGATAGGAAGGAGCCAGCAGGGGAGAGAGGTGGCAATGTGATCAGTCAGATGGTCTGAAAGTTTTCCTGGGTTCAATGAAATAGGAAGTGACACTGTGGGCTGAGTGTGGGGGAGGAGCTGCTTCACTGGAGGTTTGAGAACAGGGCAGCTTGATTATAGCCTTATCATGCCTGAGATGCCTGCTGGGAAGAATAAGGGCCACACAGAGCTTGGTGACCATGTACAAGAAAGAATGGCAGCCCCCAAAACCATGGCTCCTACGTACATCCATAAACCTCAGCAGCCCCAAGTCTAGAGACACAGCTGTGTCTCTAGGCAATATGGTGGCTGGGAGCCATATGCAGCTATCTCAAATGCAACTTCAAGCAATTCAAACTAATAACATTTAAAGCAGTTGCTCAATTACTCCTGCTTTGGACAGTGCTGCTGAGGTACATTTCCACTGTCAAGGAAACTTCTGCTGTACAGCTGACTCAGAAAGACAAAAGAAGAAATGTGGTGGGGGTGACTGAGGAGGCTGTGGTCGGAACCGAACCCGGATGTCATAGGTGGAGCAGCCCTGGT